GAAACTTATGATATTACTCCCTATCAGTCTTATACAGAGTCTCTGTATAAGGCATAATATTTTGTTTATGGTTTGAAAGGTGATTATTCAGATGTCAAAGCTTTCTGTCAATTGTGGGGGAGATATTTGGAGCAGGAATTTGGCACACACTGACTAGGGAAGAGCCTTCAGAGCTGCCCCTCTTACGAGCCTTTGGGAATACTCTTCATGCTGAAATTTACTTTGAAACTTTTATCGTAAATGCAATATCATTATCTTGAGTTAGTCTCTTTTTTGTGATTTTAATTTTTTTTCAGGGATTGGAGGCGATCCCTTCAATGGAACTAATTTTATTGACTGCCTTGATGTCTTCCTGAAGGATCCTCATACTGAGGGGATCATATTGATTGGGGAAATTGGAGGAAATGCTGAAGAAGATGCAGCAGCATTCTTGAAAGAAAACAATACTGTAAGTCTTAAACAGCTTGCTTCCAGACACATTGGTAGTTAGCCATCTTCTTTTGCCAAGTCAAGGAAAACTCAGTTCCATCTCTAATCTCTGTTTACAAAAAAACCAAACAGTCATACTTTTATTAAAGAGAAAGAGTTGAAATTAGGAGCTTTATCCAGATTAAATCTAGCTGGAGATCATGTCAACTTTAGATTTTTAGTCCTGTAATGATATTTGTAGTGAACGTTCTGGTTTTTGTAATATACGTGGCTCTGTAGAGAGATGTTTTAGTGTTTCTGATTGCTTCTGGTTTATGATGCTTACCAGGAGAAAAAGTATTCCACACTCTTCAGACTCTTGATTCCGTGTTGTCTGAGGTTTCTAGCTGTTTAATATCTTTGCCTGGCTAGTTGATATTTAAAAAAAAAAAAAAAAAAAAAAATCTGCCATCTGGAATTACTTTTCGTCTCATTCTCCCCCATGTAAAACAGTATCTTTCCTTTCTTCACAGGGTCCAAATGCCAAGCCGGTAGTGTCATTCATAGCTGGTCTGACTGCTCCTCCAGGCAGGCGGATGGGTCATGCTGGAGCAATCATTGCTGGGGGAAAGGGTGGAGCTAAAGAGAAGATAGCAGCTCTTCAGAGCGCAGGTGTTGTTGTCAGCATGTCTCCTGCTCAGCTAGGTAGCACCATCTACAAGGTTCGTTGCTTGGAAATTGGTATACATACTCATCCAGAGCAAGAAGCTACTTTTGAGGGAATAAGAGTTGGGAGTACATCTCTTACCGAAATATTCTGTTGCTCTGAACTTGGTTAAACATAAGAACTCTATTGACTGAACAAGCTGCAGTTATTATGTAGATAATATGTGCATGTAGTATTATGTAATGTTGCCTTTATAGAACAGTAAACATAGCAAAATAGAGAAGAGATTACACTTTGCTTTCAAGTGTAGCAACTTGTTGAATTGTGTTTTCTGGATGCAAATAACCTGAATTAATTTAAAATATGAAAACAGTCTTTGAAAGTAGGGTATTTGAGGAAGGAAAGCCTTGGCATATAGGTCTACCTATTTTAAGTACAGAATTCAGAATTATGGCTGAATGCATATGGCTGAAAAACTTCTGTATGGAATAGGTTTATTTGCATTTTTCTTAATTCATGTCCAAAAAAAGGCATTGCTTCACAGCTAGAGGAAATGCGTAATTCAGCTGTGCTAGGGTGGTTTCTTTACTTTTTTTTTCCCCTGTGGTGGCCATATAGCATAGCATCTTCTCAGGCTACTAGAGGAGTCTTCCCTTCTTCTGTTGTGTTTAGAATCATAGAATCATAGAATTATTAAGGTCGGAAAAGACCTCTAAGATCATCGAGTCCAACCGTCAACCCAACACTACCATGCCCACTAAACCATGTCCCTAAGCGCCTCATCTACATGTCTTTTAAATACTTCCTTTACTAAAATGAAAATCTTTACTTCATTGCTTCCCTGGCTTGAATTCTTGACTGTAAGGATTCTACTGCAGTTCTTACGCAGAATTAGTGCTTTCCAAGCCTGCTACGCTCTGCATGGGAGCAAACGGTTCCTTGACAGCATTGCAATCTGAGTGCAGTTCACTGACTGCAATCTAGCACTTCTGGTTTTTCATAGCCAGTTTGTTAATCTGAGGTGGGAGAATACTTATCCTCCTTTCCTCTAACTTGCACACATTATGCATTTTATATTTTAATTTTTAATTCCAGCTTTTAATTCCAAAAATCAGATTTGCTAAGATAAATACGAAGTAATTTAAAATAAAATAGTAATAGAAGCATTTTCTTTTTTTCCCCACTGGTAATGTCTGTGTGCTATTTGCAGGAATTTGAGAAAAGAAAATTGCTGTAAGAGAAGACACTTTGGAATACTGTCTCCAAAACATCGGTGCAGCACCTGGCCTCCGCTTATCTTTTGTCTGCTAGTCTTCAGTTGCCCAAATGACTGACACTGGTCTATGAATTTGACTTGGAAGCCATAAACCTCCTGGCTAAACCTGTTTTGATGTCTCCTTGGTTCAGACATGATCACCTCATTGTAAATCACAGCAACTAATAAATCTACTGCTAAATCTGATTCATCTTTTGAATTCCTGAAGCAGAGCCATTTCTTCGACCATCATAAACAAAATAATCAGCCTTGAAGGTCTGAATCTTTTGTAACTTAAGCACTGCCCATTTTAAGGTAAAGTCGCTTATAGAGATGCTTTTAAGGATCAAGGCACTGACTTTATGCACATATTACACTTTGCTTTATTTTTAAAAAATCTAGTCTTGTTCGCTGCTGGCAAGTATGTTTGTTTCAACAGTAGGCCAAAGTTTCCGTCCATTAAACCAAAGCTGCTGGATCTGAAGGGGTTGCTTGTTGATCCATGTAGCTGGATATGCCTGAAGTCCAGACTTCCTTTTCAAGGCTGAGCTGTGCACAGTGTAGTCCTCTGTTGGCAAGGAACTCTGTTTGTTGCGTGAAGAGATGGAATTTTTATTCACAAAAATGAATCTAGTTTCCCATGCAAATACATATTCAAAACTGTCTGTAACTGTGAAAATAATTTGGTCTTTAGCTTACATTACCTTAATTTCCTCTTTATCTTAACTAGGATTGCATTGCTTGTCTGTTCTGAAATCCTAGTAACATTAGGACATAATGGGGGAGAATTACTATTCTCTGGAAAAGAATGTAATAAGGTATCTTTCTTGTTAACCACTCCCAGCACTGTAATGGAAAGCCCTTTTTTTACTTCGGAAATAGCCTGAGCACCGTGCCTATAAATGAGTGTTACAAGTTTTATCAGGATGGACTAAAACCAAGATTGCTTTCTTTATGTAGAGGACTGAAAGTTCTTGTAACCTGGCACTTGTCTGAAGCTAACATTGTGTTCCATAAAGGTGCTGTTACGAAAACTCGTGTTGTTATTTGTTTAAAACTGTTCTTAGTTTTCTTACTCCAATGCCTGTGGAATTTCTCTTCCTAATGCAAGCAGTAGGCAGGTATCTTGATACTGACATTTACAGTTCCTAGAGCTAAGCCCTGACGAAATGCATAAAAGGAGATGTCATCTCCGCTGCACTGAAAGTGTATTAATACGCTTCATATATAGTCAGGCATCAGTCAGATGATATAGGCCCGAGGACACAGAGACCAGATGCTGTATTATTCACCTTGGTATGATTTACTAAAATGAACCTGGCATCTTATCGCTAGACAGCTGAAAGCAGTGTTGAGTGGTAAACCATTTGATAAAGCCTATGACAACAGAGAGGAATTTTCTTACTAGATCTGCTCAGTTTTCTGGTGGTGCCTGATTTAATCTGGAGCAAAAAGACCGAATGGTGCCCTTTAACTAGAGAAATACCAGTGCTAACATGTCTCAGTCTGTAAAAGAGTGCAATTCTTCACCAATGAATGTCAGAATATTGCAGCCTGTCTTCTTACGAGCCTGCTAATCAAAGTAACTCATCGTAGTAGTGGGCTTCTCCATAACATGTCTCTTGGAATGGGTAATGCTTCTTGATGAAGTGCCTGAATTTCATCATTGCCACCAGCGTTATAACAGATGACCTGCCAGGAGAATGGGGGTGTAGTAAGTTTCCTGCTGGGGATTGCTCCATGGAAGCTCTTTTAGAGGCACCAGCTATTTTAGAAGACAGCCATAAACTCGAATGACAGTTGTCCCCTGAGAAAGCGTTTCCTCCTATCTTGAAATTTGAGGATGGGTGTGAAAATGTGACCTTGATTCTAATGTTTGCAGCAGTCATCTGGTGCTGCACCTTAGCAGCTGCCTGGTTCTGTTCAAGCCTAGGGAAGCAGTCTGTACTAGCCTGGAACTGAGCATCACCTAAGGATGGGGAAGAAACCTGACCTGGTCTGATAGAAAGGCTTAGTTTTCGCAGTTTTCTCTTGCTGCCTAAAAATGTGCACTTGACAAATATCATCAGAGCCTCTTACGTTGCTAATGACAATGTCTCTTTGGAAAACATTCACATCTGTTTAATACGTATGTACTTGTGAATAAATATTTCATGTAATCTGATCTGGAAAATTGTTCATTTATTTTTTTTTTTAAAGGCAAAAGTTAAGTTAGTGTTGCTACTTTATAACTTAGTAAGTTTTTATGCGCAAGAGAAACATTGCTAATGTTACTGTTTGAGTTCTCATTAAGTTTTATGAAATAGTCCTTTTTTCCCTTGATCTAGACTTGGCAATGGTGTCTGTCCGTAAATCACTTGCACTTTTGAGGGATTTCTAGATGTTCATTTTGGTTGGGGGAATTCATTGCTGTGATGATTTTCTTGAACAAAGAGAAGAGGATATAGATTCACTTCATGCTTTTTTTTCTCTTACTGGGCAATATTTGTTTTTGAATGATACCTAATACTCTCACTGGTAGGTGCTCCTTGAGTTTGATGATGTTAATAATTTTTTTTGAGGTTGATTAGAGAAGTCTGTCACACCTAATGAATGCTGTGCCTTTTGTGTTTTTTAGAATATATTCATGCCTGATTTTTTTTCTTCTGTGTTGATGCTGTTTTCCAGGATGAATGTTTTGTTATGTAATATTTTGGGGGAAGACAGTGGTAAGTTACTCTCTGTACCTTTGTACTTAAAATGATGCTCTGACGTGAGATTCTAGCAAGGGGATTTCTTAACATTCACTTTATTGAAGCTCACCAATGAAAACAAAAGAAAACATCGATGCCAATTCATTTGATCAAATGAGGTCTCCTTTGCACTGGAGGTGGAGAGGGAAGGAGAGGCTGGTGAAAGATGGTCAGCTCTATACACCAGTGTCAAGATGTTCTTAAAACTGTGTGGGATTATTGAGGTGATTAGTGGTGGATTTCTCAATCGCTATTGTCATTGTTTCTGAGGTTCCCCACAGTTCTTCAAGTTGTCCCATTTTTTGGATGTGCTACTTTTCATCCTCTTGCTTACCTGCTTCCTTTTGTGGTGGATTGAAATTCCACAGGGCCCTAGTACGGTGCTAACTAAAATCGGTTGGCTGCTGTATTGAGATGGTCTAGGTGGTTGTCGTTGAACCAAAGATGCAATTGAATTCTCTGCAGATCAAACAATACATTTCAAGCTTTAAGGTGAGGAGAGGAGCACTCACTAATGGGCCTCACCGCTGACAAGTGGATTAGAGGCTGCACTCTGGAAGAAGGCTGCTAATTAGGTAGACTGAAAGTACCTGCAAAGTCACGTTGTCCTTCAGCCTGGGGCGATGACTGACGTCTGCTCAGATTCGGGCACTGGTCCCCGGCAGGTCTAGTGATTGGATCCCCCGATAGCAGCCAAGTGAGGGGTGAGGGCAGAGCAAATTGGGCCAGAAAATGCCAGGATCTGAGCCCTGAGACACATAACAGTGGTTTCAAGAAGAACCTCAGGGGCTGGCTTCTGTGCTGATGGCTTCAAAGTGGTAGCTGACTTGTGATGCCCGAAGAATAAACTCTTAACTGTGGAATTAAGTATGACCTGCACTAACATCATAAATTGCTCAGTTTACCATCACCTTTGCCTTCCCTTTCCCGCTGCCTGTCACTGGTGATTAAAGCTTTTCGTAAGAGGGTCTATGTGCAAGTCTGATAATATGGGCAGGAGCCTGCAGCGATAGGAGGAGTTGTGCTGCTGCGGAAAACTGGCAGGCAGCAGATTCAGGGTGTTTTACACAGCGGGCCGCTCCTCCCGGAGCATCTGTACAGGGCTGAGGCAGCCCCTGGCTTCGCGGTGACTAGAAATAGCTGGTGAGAGTCCAGGTTTGACGTTTTCCACAGAAATTGTAAGACCAAAACAACAAAAAAAAGTCTCTTGGACATCAACTTGCAGTACCCCACTGGCAATTAAATGGGGTTTATGCTACATGTCTTTGACCATATTCTTAAATAATTGGTTCTTCTGAATTATTTAATGAGGGGTTAAACTGTATTCCTCCGTCAGAGATATGTCCCGGCACTGGGTAGTACGTTGGTCTCCTGTAGTTAAGGCATGTGAGTTGCTATAGGCAGCAGCACATATGGGAACTGCTGTTTAACTTGCATCTAACCTTTGCTCTGTGCAGCCCAAAGCACTGAGGACCCTTCACAGAGGGTTGATTGAGATGGGTGGTAGTGGAAGCTAGGTAAGGTAATTCACGATTAAGTAATGCACTATTCCGAATTCATAGCAATGGCTCATCTGCCTCTCTTCCTCCTTTCCTGCCTGGTCTGTATAATGAAGCATGGGAGCCCTGTGACTGAATATGTTATGGGGAGGATTCGTACGGGAATTAAAACCTGATAGGTACCATTTTTAGGGAGAGGTTACTTCGATATATCCCCTTTCCTCCTATCTGTGAGAATATGGTTTAGTGTTGAATTGACCTGGAATCAAAGTTTACAATTTGGGAAAATTTCTTGACTCAGAAATGCTGAAACACTTTCAATTTTCAAAAGGAAATTAGCAATTTGTCCCATTTGAATTTGAGATGCAAACAGGGTGTTTCCCTAGAAGTGGAAATCTGAGAGTTTTGCTTCAGTTAAAAACCTCAGAAAACTTTCTCAGAAGTGCACCGGGGTTGTGTTTTTTTTTTTTTTTTTTTTTTTTTTCCTGGTGGTTCCAGTCTGGGCTTTCTGGCACATGATGTTTTCAGCCTGATACTTGTCAGACCTGCTGAGCATCCATAGCTCACTAGCAGGACTTGGACCCAGACGATTCACTGCCACTTAAAGCACCCAAAACTTCTCATTAAAAACTGACTTGCTTTCTGCAACAGTTATGTGATCTCAAAAGAAAAGGGAAGAGCTCGCTCTCTGTTTACACAAACCAGATAAATTTATAGAACTGGGAGAAAAAATGTTTTTCTGTCCTATAATCACTAAACCACACACAGCAGTGTTTGTCCTGGGAGTAGGCGCAATAGCCTGTAACGATGTCTGTGCTGTGTAGATACATAATTAAGGGTGTCTCAAAATCTGTTTTGTTGCTGTAAAAGACAGCACAGCAAATTTATGGTTTTCAGCACATTTGTAATGTTACGAGATAGCTGCTTTAAAAAAAAAAAAAACAAACCAGCTTAGAAACCTATTTCTTTTCATTTGTGGTTTTGCTCTCTAGGTGGCAGGTTTTGACACTAAAACGTGATTTTGATTCCTGCTCTGAACTCAGGGGCTCAAAATGTGCTGGAGAAATAGAAGACGAAAACAAAACACTACTACTTTATTCTTTCTGGGTGTTATATTGATTTATGATCATATCCTTTTATGTGAGTTGGAGAGAGGTGGTAAAGAACCGAGCTGGTTTTCCTCCGTGTTCTCAGTGCGCCTGTGATGTTGAAATTTCTTCCTGTTTTTCAAGCTGGTATGAGTAATGTTGTCTGAACTGTGTGGCTTTGGCAGTCAAATGGGACCTGCCTTAGAGAAATACCTATCTTCATTTTGAAGTGGACAAGAAATGGCTTAGACTGTTTCTTCAACAGCTTAGCAATTCTGACTTTTCTTTTTTTGCTTTTATTCAGTTGTCCAAGGCTGGAGGGCAGAAGAGGGGGAGAAGAGGTAGGGCTGTTAGGGAGGAGAGAAATGAATTGTCAGACCTAAAAGGAATTTTTTTATTTTCAACAGCAAAAAAAAAAAAAAACCCAAACCCCAAATCCAACCACTGCATAATAAAAGAATCTATGAAATAGTCACCAACTGCTGACTCCCTAGGGAGAAGCAGGAGGAGATTCAGCTCCTTGGAAGAAAAGCATCTTCCACACTATGTCCACCAGGCTCTACATGCTGAAGGAACCCAGGGCAATGGGTGAGCAGTGCCATTAGGGGTTGGACCAGTCCCACTTCTCTGAGTGCGAGCTGTAGGATGAGACCAATTTGGATCAGGGTCTTTGGTGTCAGCCCAACCTCCTTTGCATGGAAGAGGC